GCTCAATCATTGAATTGTTCATTATAGTTTCTTCCAACCAAATTTCATTGAGTCTCATTTTCAAATATGTTGTAGTGAAGAACGTCAACGTACAGCCACAATACACAAATGCTTTTTCTATGTTGAAGTATTCAATTTGCGAAGTGTTAAAACTAGTAGATTGTTTTAAGTAGTAGAGAATTAACAGAGACATCTTGATCTCTCGGAGTGGGATCATTAAATCTCAGTTTTCCCAATGGGCCGTACGCTGGCCCAAATAGTTTTACAATTTTCCCGACCCCTTTTTTTTTTTTTGTGTGTGTTTGCGCAGCAGGCCCATCCTGTGTAGTATACGCTCATGTATCCAATTCCTTCATGACATTTGATAGTAACCTCTTCAAAATTCCAATGATCAATCCTTTGTTGGTAAATACAAAGCTATAACATCTATTTGTTGCTAGCTTTAGGATAAAGAAATACTAGCGACTATTTTTTGCACTCTTTTTCAAGACTCACGTAATACTTATTTTCAATTGAAATAACTTAATTTGTTGTGCGCAATTAATAAAAAATACGTGCTTTATGGGTAAAAAATATTGTGATTGTGAATGTTGATGAAATATATATATATATATGTCATTATCACTTCTCTTTTTACTAACAAATAAATCATTATTTCAATGTAAAACAAAAGAAGAAAATTTAAAAAAAAAAAGAAAAAAAGAGTAGATAATCAACCTGAAAAACCACACATTTAACTATTATGCCAAATCATCTAGAGCCTTAATGTTCAACAATTTTCAAGAAATAAAACCAATCACAAATCATTTCAAACATAAACAAATAAATAAAATCAAGAAAAAGGAACACGGCAGATTTAGACAAAAAGAAACCACGTAATGTCTGTTGCAACAAGGAACATGTACCAAAAAGAAAACGAAGTACAGGAGCTGAAATCTAATCTTTCCTCTTCACAATCATCATCACCAACAACTTTCTCATTTAGGCATGGCTATAGTAATCACTGAAAGACAAAGCTTATGATTAATATATATAAAGAAGGAAATTAAATATTTATAAAGTTAGACAAAGAATGAGTTAATGAAAGAGTTACCTACCATTCATTTCTTGGTGCATTGAAAAGGTTAATCATATAGTAGTCCGTCTGAAAACTGTGCCTTGGTACAGAGGACATGTTTAAGGATTCAAGTATGACATGTTCAGCTTCCGCTATGTCCCCATCCACCAATATCTTCACCTCCTGCAAATTT